AGAGTTGCCTGACTTCTCGTCCCGTCTATAACTGCTGATTGTGGCCCACTCCGTTAGTGTGCCCATCCCTTGCCACTTCCCGGAGGTGGCTCCACCCCTACCCTCTCCTCGTGGGCTGCCATTACTTGGAGGTCATCCCTTACACACCCTCGTCCTGCCCACACCAGAGCAGGAGCTATGTAGGAGGAGAGAACCTTCCACTCCAGTGCAGGTCCCGGAGAGGACACACCTGAAAGCCCAGCATGTGTCCATTGGATAACAGCCCCAGGGATCTTCTGCTGGCTGTGACAGATCTCTGAGGGAGACAGGATGGGACATTCTGGAAAACTCTGTGGCCTGAATACATAACATGCCCGGTGGTGTTTTCTGTGACAGCATCCTCCACCAACTTCTGCAGTCAGGGCCTGGACTCTGCACCTCAGGTCCACAGTGAGAACAAGATCCTCCGAGAAGAAAACCGAAGGCTTCAGGCTCAGCTGAGCCACGTTTCCAGAGGTAGGTGGTCTGAGCCCCCAGGTGGTGGCCACACCCTAATCCCCGTCTTCCCGGTCCACACCTGCCACCGGGAGGAGAAGGTAAGAGAAGAAGGTGGGGATCACAGAGCTGCCCTGTTCCACCAACCCCGAATGCTGAGAGTTATTCTTAGGCTAGAAAGGCCTACATCCTTAAAGAGGACTCCTTGATGGGCCTTAGTCTCTGAGGCTTCAAGGCTGAGGAGCTCAGCAAAACTCACCATTTCCACCCATGCCCCACTGCAGAACCCACTGGAAACCAGTTTGATGCTCCCGCCCCTTGCCCTCCCTCCCCTTACCCAAGCTGACCACTGCCTTGGAACCAGGAAAGCAAGGAAGGACAGTGCCTGCATTTCCTCTCAAGCTTCCCACACATTAGTGCAGCCTGGCATCCCTAGACCTCCGCACCACTGTCCCTCCTCGGCACCCGGGCGCCTCTCTCAGGCCCATGCCGTGGATGCCTGTGTGTCTGGAGATGCCAGCAACCTGCCCTCCGGTGCCCAGTCACTGGGTGCCCACTCAGCACCATTGCCTGCCTGTGCAGTCTGAGAGGCAGGGGAGCCTAGTGTTCATTGAGCATCTAGAACAAATGCTTTTTACTTAAATATTTATTAAACTAATAATGTCCAGAGGGGTTAAGCCCAAAAGGAAAGAATGCTTGTGGAAAAGGAAAATACATCGAGAGCTATTTCTAAATTGGTCATCTCAGCACCAAAAGCCTTGAAAGGAAGGAAGGAAGGCCAGTGTCGGAGAAGAAATGCCAATAGAGGAGAAGGCAGAACTCCAAGCCTCCTGTTGCAGGGGTGGGGTGGTTAGACTCGTGCCACGGATGAGACGGTAGCATGAGATTCAAATGAGTATTTGCCCCATCCAAGTGAGTTCCATCACAGAGGACTCACAGCACCTGCAGCCAATAATCCAAATCCTAGCACCTGACCAATAATCCTTGAGAAATCACGAGGACCAGAGAGATGCCACAAGCTCAGTGAAATGCAAGCAGACCACTTTTCTCAGGGACCATCTTCTGAAAATAGAAGATATCTCAATGTTGACCTTTGACAAAATTTGAGTGGATTATTAACCATATAGTACATGAGTTGCTAGAAAACAGAATGTTTTCTCAAAGAGCAAGCTCCTACTTCATAGCTCTAGAGTTGATGTCGACCCATAGTGACCCCAGATAGGTAACTTTTGATCAGAGCAGACAGCCTCCTCACTCTCCCACTGAGTGCCTGGTGGATTTGGGCCACCGACCTGGCAGTCAGTAGCTCAATGCTTATCCCAAAGCACCACCAGGGGCTCCTTAAGTCACATTAAAGCAGAAGGTCAAGGGCATTGCCAAGCAGAGGTGCATCATTCCCGCGAGCTGGCACTTTGTCTGCCAACACAGGACCTCCATTCCCTTTGCTTCCCTTCTGCATGAAGGAAGATGACAGATGTACTTGGGCAACCCTTCCCATCGGCCCTTGACCCCATCAATATGAATATTCCTGTGTTCTATTTACCAGAGCATTCTCGGGAAACAGAGTGCTTACGGGAGGCTCTGCTGTCCTCACGGGCCCGGCTGCAAGAGCTGGAAATGGAGCTGGAGCACCAGAAGGTGGGGCAGCAGCAGCTTTTGGATGACTTGAAGGAGAAGCAGCAAGAGATGTTGCATTTCCAGGAGGAACGGCTCTCCCTTCAAGAGAAGGACTCCAGGTAAGAGCAAGCCCGCCGATGAGAGGAGAGAGTAAAACTCAAACTAGCCTCACTGCCATCGAAAGGTGGCCACGTTGTCAGATTTAGAAGACGGGATCTGGACAAGACCGTCAATGGCCTCTTTTGGAAACCTCCCTTTCCGTTCTGACTATTCATGATGAAGGATGGCTTTAGGTCACTGGGTGACACAAATGGTCTGGGCTCAACTACAAGCCTAAAGGTTGGCAGTTAGAATCTAGCCAGTCATGTTGCAGAAGAAAGGCCTGCCAGTCTTCTTCTGTGATGATTACAGCCAAGAAAGCCCAGAGGGGCGCATGTCTACCCTGTAAACTATGGGGTCACCATGAGTCGGATTGGTCTCAATGACAGTGAGTGTGTTTGCTTGCTTGCTTGGGTTTGTATTGAACAGAAGGAAGAATTTCTTGAAAAACATGTTTCATCCCAAAGTTGAGAGAGTGAACTCCACGTAGAGAAGGTTCCAGAACATCGCGAACTAGAGAAAGAATGTCTTTATGCTTCTGATCAGCTATAGGACACTAGACTCACCATAAGCTGGGGAAACTCTCCACCTGCAGTCATGCTTCTCCCCCAGCACATGCCCAATGGCCCCTGGCAACATGAAAATGAACAGCCACCAGTAGGAAGGACATTGAGCTGGTATGTCTGCAGAGCAGGTTACCTGCACCTTTCCGAGCCTCTGTTTCCACGTTTGCAGAATAAAAGGGATGGGCTTTGTGAGCTCAGAGTTGACGCTTAGGGCCCAAGCTCAACGATGCACGAGTTTTCAGCTTCTTTCCCTGCGGTGCTTGGGCCACACTGACAGCTCTCTGGCCCCTGCTTCTCCCGGACAGGCTGCAGCACAAGCTAACCCTCCTGCAGCAGCAGTGTGAGGAGAAGCAGCAGCTCGTCCAGTCCCTGCAGTCTGAGCTACAGCTCTATGAGGGCCTTCACGGCGACTCTAAGAAGGGGCTGAAAGGTACGTGTTCCTCTCTCTCTTCCATTTCCCGCCCCACGGACACCCTGCCCTTTCTTAGAATCATCCTGGCTTGTGGAACTTTTGGACAGCTACAGAGTCCTAACTTGGTGAAGGGAAATTTACTGATGTTTGCATAAATACAGGGGCCAAACAAGGCAGAAAGGGTTGTTTATGTACAAAGGCATGGAGTACGCCTGGGGAGTGTTGGGTGGAGAGGAGACCAGCTTGACCGTAGGAGAGAGAAACTTTGTACTGTGGAGTTGCGAGAGGTAGGGTAGATACAGGGAGGGTTGTCGGTATGTAGAGGCCTACAAGCTAGGATGGAAGTTAAAACTCTATGGAATAGACAAGGAAAAATAAGTATGTTTCCTCTAAATAGACACCCCAGGTGGCGGGTGTCGTGGGACACAAGGGAGCTGGGAGACATTTGAATCAGGGAAGCTTCTGGCATTCAGTGATGAGCATCTCATATGAAGCACAACTGGGAAGAGAAAGAGGGTCGAATAAATAAAACATTTTTAAGAAAGAATAAGCAAAGCTTGGTCAGAATTTGGATTTAGGGCAAGAAAGGGACAGGAGCCTCAGGGAACTCTGGGATTCGTTCCTGAAAACCACTTTTTTCTCCAGAACGACCTCCTCTTCCATGCCTCTTCCCCCTTTCATGGGTCCTTCAGGAGCCATTTCAGAGCCACTAGCACTAAAGGACCATAGTCCCTCACCCTTAATTCCCAAATCCAGGAAGATCTCTGAGTCAAATGCCTTTTAGTATATTCATCTGGTGACCAGACAGAAGTGATCAATGACCATCTGTGACCTTCATTTACCCTTCTTAGTGAGAACATTCACAAAGTCCATTGTAGAAATGCTAATCTGCCCGAATAAGGGCTGTGGCCCCAGATGCAACTGGTTGTGTTCTATAATATCCACGTAGGGTGTCTGTGTCCTATTACCTAGCTTAAACCAGAAAGAAATCTACATTTCAAAACACATTCGCCCCAAGGCTTTCCAATAAGGGATTGTGCCTTTGTCCTGTAGTGCTTCTGTGTGCACTCCTCAGTATGTGGACAGAAGACTCGGTGCAACGAGGGGAGGTAGAACATAGGGCAGTTAAAAAGTTCACATGCTTCGGATGCTTGTTTTTGGTACTGATTCCCATTTTTACTTGCTCCTAATAGACCTGACGCTATTGCCTCCTCTCCTCTTTGATGCCTGAGTGTGTTGGTCATCAAATTCTTCTCCTTCGGTCCAAAGCTTACATCCCACCCTGGAAGACCCTCCTGAGTGTGCCTTGGGGCTCTGATAGGCAATGGGACATCTCTATCACAGATTTGTGTTGTCCATGACCCTTGCTTGGGTCCCCAGAAGGAACAGAAGTCTGAGAGGTGTGTTCTGATAAGTGCTTTGACATCTCCTTGGTGACCAGTTCCCTCTTCTTCTTTCAGCCTACAACTGGGATGCCTGTCACCAAGTCCCCTTGAGCAGTGAGTTGAGTCACCTGGTGGCAGAAGTGCGAGCTTTGAGAGGGCAGCTGGAGCAGAGCATTCAGGTGAACAACTGTCTGCGGCTGCAGCTGGAGCAACAATTGGATGGTGGTGCAGGCAGAGCCAGCCTCAGCCCCTCCTCTGTCACTGCGAACTTCCCGGCCAACACGGACCCGGCCGACAAGCAGCCACTCTTCCCAGGTAGGAAGAAAAGAGGCATTCGGAAGCACTCAGCCAGGGGGCAGGCCTCCTGCCCTTGGGCCAGGCTGAAGCCAGAGATGCCTTGTATAATATAGCACACCAACGGAGAGCTTGGGACCTAGAGTCAGAAACTGGCTCTTCACTCGAGTTCACCCCGTAGAGGCTGTTTGCTTTGGAAAGTTGTTGAAACTCTCAGGTACTTAAATGTTGGTTTCTACATCTTTAAGGTGAGGGTAAGAATCATATACACCTTGGATGATTTTTGGAGTCCCTGTGAGGGGTGCAAATGTCAAATGTTCTCAGCTACCAACTGGAAGGTTAGAGGCTCCAGTCCCCCAAAGAAGTGACTGGAAAGGCCTGACATCCTACTTCTGAAAGAAAAACAAAACAATTCGCCCCTGAAAGCCCCATGGTGCATGGCTCTTTTCTGACGCACACACACGACGCAGAAGCACCGCGAAAGCAGGCTGCAGCTGTGTGGTTAATTAGAGCGTGGAATTTAGTCATCAATACGCCAGGCACCATGAGAAGTGCTTCATAATCAACAGCTGCATATGCTGATCTCGATCCCTCATGTTTGAGGAGGGCTTATTAACCAAGTGTTTTCAAAGTTCTCATTTCCTGCGAGACCGGGAAAGTTGTACTGTCTGTATTTCATATGAGAAAACTTGGGCTTTGCGACGTTAACTCACCTGCTCAGGTTCATAGGATCAGGGAGCGAAGCAGAATTAGAATGAAATCTCTGAGTCCCAGTCTGGGTTCCTTCCATCACCTGGTGCCCTGTCTCAGTAGTGCTGATCCGTTCACAGTCCCTAGCCTGGGTCTCCTGTCCCTCATGCATGTGGTACCCAGCAGTGTGGCAGCATGTTCCTGTCCCTCAGGAGATGAGGATGCATTGGGTGTTGAGCACCTTTCTTCCGGGGGTGGGGGTGGGGTGTGTGTGGGGTGACAGTCATCCTCCTTCTTCAGCTCTGTCTCCGGCCTGC